TTATCAACACCCTCAGCGGGAGTCGAACCGCGACAGTGCAGGATGGGAGCTTGACACGCTAACCACTCGGTCACACTGCCACATCTTATATTACTGATTTACTGGTAGTCACGAAAACAACACTTAATTAGAAAAATAATATCGCTTAGCGATTCGACTCCCGCTGAGGGTGTTGATAAGACCGATGCAAGTTTGAAACTGCAGTCCACTGGTGCTTGGATAAAAACAACTTTTGGGAAAACAAGGCTATGTGAAATTCAAGGGAAACGTCAGCTCTACTCATATGATTGTGGGAAAATTACTTCTACCAGTCCTTCATCACCTTAAACGAAATTGGGTGAATACATCTCATACTACTGATTTACTGGTAGCCTCATACCAGTCCTTCATCACCTTAAACGAAATTGGGTGAATACATCTCATATTACTGATTTACTGGTAGTCACAAAAACAATACTTAATCTGTCTTATTCGTGGGATTGTTGTCCGCAAGGCAAACTAATATTTCATGCGAAGAAAAGTTTGGTTTCGAGTAATCGCTTATTTCATAATTGTTGTGCTGACTTTCCTTTCGAGCGAAAGTGTTTGCCGAAGAGATTCGAAGGTCGATTCCACCAGAAGTCGTCGGCGGATTCCTCTTGACCAGCTCTCGATTGGCTTTACTGGAAGACTCATACTGACGCTGTTTCCGATTCCGGTGAAAAGAGGCTAACCTTTCGTCCGTCATATGACGAACATCATCAGAGCAAAGTATCATCGTCACAACAAAATTCAAGCTAACGAGCCGTCGTCTTCAGGTGGAGTCGACCTTCGAATCTCTTCACCAAACACTTTCACTTGAAATGGAAGTGAGCGCAACAATTATGAACCAAGGGATTCCTCGAAACCCAACTTTTTTCGTATATATTACATTGTTTTTGTTTCGTTTATAAGTAGGATTTCGAGGTTGTCAGTAGATCATATATATGAGATGAATTTTCCCAAAATCATATGCATATACCTTAAACGAACCAAGCGAAATGCACCTCATCTAGGCTCTGCTTATAAACGTAATGCATTGTCGTCTTCTTTTGTCCTCACTCACGCCCCATTTTCGTGCAACCCGATTCGCGTGGTCGGTTTCCTCGTCGCCAGAACTCTCTCCGCCTCCTTCCCTTCCGCCTCGACCGGCCTGACGACCAACTTCGTCGTCAGCACAATCGGCCGATTGATTTGATGCACACGCCATAGCAATTAGCACCCTTGCACAGGTTCTACTCCACGCCCCATCACAGGCCTGCAGGCTGATTGATGTTCGGACGCTGGCTGGAAACGGCTTCTATTGCTGGCCTTAAAAGCCGGTCGTACTGAATGCCGTGTTGTGTTGATGAACAGGGCACCGGGAACATGGCATTTGGGTGGATGGTACCTCCCCACATCACACGCACTAGCGTCCTCGCGGCTACCGGCCATCCTAGGGCCAGTTGCCAGGCCCATTGGTGGAGCGAGCTGAGGTGTGGTGGGGGTGGGAGTGGACGTGTGGATGAGTGGGGGTGGTGGTGTGTGTGAGGGTATACAAGTTTAAGTGCCGAAATCAGTAGATCTCCTGGTTGTCCTACGGTGTACAGTGAATGAAAACTGAAATGGAGGCTGGCCAAAACGGTTCAGGCCATTAAGCAGGACAAAAAGTATTAGGCTTAATCACTCGCTTTACCTTTGTCAATCAATACTTTCCGGTATTTCGCTTGCCAACCCATTAGTCCCCGGAAAAATTGCAAGCCCTCATCGCCCAGTTGCCTAGTCAACGTGGCCAGGGCTGCCCGCCTCCTGGCCGAGGGACAGATCGGATCGGCCCAAGGCCGGCAGTCGCGAAACCCGACGACTGATGGTACCGTCGGCCGAGTGGGGCGTGGAGCAGCCCTCCTCCTCGGGCAATTGGGGTTGGTTAGTCGGGCTGGTCAGCGAGATGCTGCCATAGACACCGAAAGCTCAAGAAAGAGACTAATGATTGTGTGCATGAAAGACGTATTCGCTC